CTGATGCTCGATGCTACCCGTGTAAATATGGATTAGAAACGGTCTTCACAACCCATGCTTGTCGTAAGAGGCAATTAACAGGATCGGGTGGTCAGGCTTGCTGACTTGGTTGACACGTGTCATCGTATCCCAATTAATGAGATCGATACTCATGCTGTTGATCACTAGATTCCCTGGTCAACACTTCATAATTTACAGACTGTTGCCATATAGCTAGAATTTTGCTCCATGCATATTTAACATCAAACAAACAAATGACGCTTGTTGGTTGTACCAAGTAAAAGGCAAAGTGGTTAATATTCGACACTTGCATTACTTCAGGCTTTTGTCCTAAATTAAGTTCAACACTGTGATATAATTGAATACGCCCTCACCTACTAAAATACTCGAACAAAAACTTGCTGAAAATGTGAGCATTTTATGGCCTCTTCCATTCTAACTCAAAAAAATAATTAAGAAAATATGTCAACCCACAGAAAAAAATAATTTCACTAATAACATTTTGCTGTTTGTTAATATTGAGTACAAACCTCCCTGGTCATATAATTATATCCAGACGTTTACTCAGTTTAGAAATTATGTTTTGAGTAATAGCTCTGATCAGAAACTGTATCAAACAATTTTACAGGCAAGAAATGCCTATTGAATAATTAAATCATCAAGAGTTATCTCCCTTGAATTGTATACCTATTATGGTGACCATTTTCCATATTTTCATGTTTATACCAGACAGAATCAAAACGAATTTTAACTTGAATGCGGTACCCATTGAGTTGAACATTTTAGCAATACTTTCTATATTAACATGTTTACATCAGATAGAATCGAAACAAATTTCAACTTGTGAATATCATCAACACTTGACAATTATGAAACAATAATAAATTTGATCCAAATGATAAACAATAACAATTGTGAGTCACGTCTTCATATGACTCATACTAAACTTCCGTGTATTATGTGTATGCCAATATAATGTTTGAATAAAATGTTTCTATAAACTGTCACCCTTGAGCCGAAACACAAAAAGTCTGTACCAGGAAGTTAAGCCAAGTTTTCAGACTTATTTTCATTTTTAAAAAAACGCTAAAAGAAAAACTTCCTAGTACTCTGTCGACCAGGAAACAACCAAATGCTAAAACATAACTTAAATGTCACAAACTCAGTCAAAACATGCAAACTGTGAGAATATGTTTGATGTTATTTTTGAAAATACAACCTATCCTTATAAGGACCAGAGGACACAGGGAGAGGTGAAAGACACATGCTGTGTTATAATGTAACACCTTCTGTCATCTGTGTCATATTTAACAACTGACACATCTAAGCTGTTTTTATTAAATTAACTTTTCATAAGTTCAGATAATACCCTAACTTTAGTGTAGTTTACAGAAATGTTTTTATCTATTCCAATCAGTGCTTGCTAGTGTTGGATATAATAAACTTGATGTTGAAAATATAAATTGAAAATTTACTTTCCTAGCTAAATATTGTTTGTATCACTGTGTAACCATGGTTACATAGAAAAATCAGGTTACTTTTGAGATTAATATTGGAATTAACCTGTACCCAAATCAATAGTTCAATTGTTATAACCGTTTACTCTGATAAATCAGACAACAACTAGACCCCAAACAAACTATTTGTTCACCATGGAGAAGACCTTGCTATACAACATGTACACACCACAATATGCATGGCCATGAATGGAGCTCGACTGTACTCATGTGAACCGCCCTTATTCACGAAGTATCAAAGAAAACCCAAAACATGCTTAAGGCTACGCATTAGTAATTCACAATACCAGAAATGCAATGTTTGCTTTCCATTACAATGTCGCATACAGGTTCTCTCAGCCGAACAAATCGTCAAACAGGTACATCGTGTCCCCTAATTGTTGCAAATCACAACAGGCAATTAACCAAGTATCTCTTTCCATTTCGCTTTTTGAAATTTTTCTGAATTTTTAAACATCAACAGAAGCAATGGAATTTGAACTTCAGGACATCCTCATTATGGCGTGATGCTGATATTTGAGATGACTGTACAGAAAGAAAATGCTTTTGGAAAAAGATGTGAAGAATATTGAATCATAGCGATTCCTGATTCTGTCAGCTCGACCATCACCTTCATCTGATGTATTTTTTTTCAGTATAACAATTCCAAAAATTAGTCACACGAAGATCCAGGTTAGGACTGAATACTCGAATACTTATAACTCGAATACTGCTGATTGCGGCACTAGACAGCCCACAAACCTAGAGTGTGAAGAAAGCATGATAATAGGCACATCTTACACATTCAACGTTTTGGTGAATTTACAAGAATTTTGTATGTTGATGACAATCCAAGGATCATAATGAAGCCAATCAAGAAGAATTGGAGAGATTCAGTAAAATGGTAAATGTTTTGGAAACGTGGCACCATGGATTATATTAAGATTACAAGCAGATACGAAACACAAATACTCACTCGCTCTATCTGACATCACATAAAATACTTAATAAATATCAAAAATGGAAATGAGACTTCTTGGCAGCTCATTAGGACAGATGTAAGTCAATATATTACTGTTGTCCACTAAAACAGATGAGTAAGTATTTTTTCAAGTAGTTCAAATCCAAATTATCCTTGTATTTCAAACATTCTGAAGTCAAAGACAAAATGGCCAGGAGAATATTACACACTCCTAAGAAGAAATATGCAGTCAAGACCATTGAAGCTGATAATGAAAACAAGATCAAGATCTGTGACATCTCAAACAATGGATGACATCAGCTTGAACTATACTGGACAAAATAAGTTAGGGATATTGGTATTTTTATGATTGATATTTTATCAGTGTGTCAACAAATAAATAGATCAATATTCATAATTTCAAAATTTACATATATCCCTAACTATTTTTGTCCAGTATATATACATGGCAATGTATGGCAATATCGTCACATTCATACAGGCCATTTTGCAAACAATGAAGACAATATAATACTTGGCGTCAGCTCATCAGGCATCAACACAAATAATTCAGTCAGAATTACGGAGGATAATTTCACCTGCATGGCATCACAAATGTATATTCATGTAAATATGTATGTGAAATATCATAAGAAACCCTGAGAAGGGGTAGCATGTACTTCAAAACACTGTGTTGGAATTTGTTGTCATGTTAGTTAGTGTTTGTTTGGAAGAAACTGTAGTGATGTGATGTTGTAATAATGTTGTTTGGAAGACACTGTAGTGATGTGATGTTGTAATAATGTTGTTTGGAAGACACTGTAGTGATGTGATGTTGTACTAATGTTGTTTGGAAGAAACTGTAGTGATGTGATGTTGTACTAATGTTGTTTGGAAGACACTGTAGTGATGTGATGTTGTACTAATGTTGTTTGGAAGAAACTGTAGTGATGTGATGTTGTACTAATGTTGTTTGGAAGAAACTGTAATGATGTGATGTTTGTAGTTGTTGGGGTGATGTTGTACTGATGTTGTTTGGAAGAAACTGTAATGATGTGATGTTTGTAGTTGTTGGGGTGATGTTGTACAGATGTTATTTGGAAGAAACTGTAGTGATGTGATGTTTGTAGTTGTTGGGGTGATGTTGTACAGATGTTGTGTGGAGGTTACTAAGTCATGCAGCCATACGTACTGACGTGATACAGTGTAAAGTTGTCATGATTGCATGATGTAAGTGATGTAGTACAGTGTCATGTTGTCATGATTGCATGATATAAGTGATGTAGTACAGTGTCATGTTGTCATGATGGCATGATATAAGTGATTTAGTACAGTGTCATGTTGTCATGATGGCATGATATAAGTGATGTAGTACAGTGTCATGTTGTCATGATTGCATGATATAAGTGATGTAGTACAGTGTCATGTTGTCATGATGGCATGATATAAGTGATGTAGTACAGTGTCATGTTGTCATGATGGCATGATATAAGTGATGTAGTACAGTGTCATGTCATGATTGCATGATATAAGTGATGTAGTACAGTGTCATGTTGTCATGATTGCATGATATAAGTGATGTAGTACAGTGTCATGTTGTCATGATTGCATGATATAAGTGATGTAGTACAGTGTCATGTTGTCACGGCACTATTGTAGTGATGATGTTCAATGATGTTGCTGATGTGTTCAATGAAACATTTAGCGATGTTATTTATGTGAGACTGAAGTGATGGCATCACAGTGATGGTGACATGTTATTTTTGTGGTGTTGATGTAAAGTTGTAATGCTGATACAGTCATGATGTAATGATGTCGTAAGAGAAGTCATGGTTGTTGTGATGATGATAATGATGACAACGATGATGATGATGATGATGATGAAGTCATCATTATTTCATGATTGATATAGTACTGTAGTACAGTTGTTGTGATGATGATAATGTTGTCATGGCAATATTCTAATGATGTTTAGTGACATAGCTGAGATGTTTAGTGATGACTGACTGACTGAGTTTAGTTTTACGCCGCTTTTAGCAATATTCCAGCAATATCACGGCGGGGGACACCAGAAATGGGCTTAACACATTGTGCCCATGTGGGGAATCGAACCCGGGTCTTCTGCGTGACGAGCCAACGCTTTAACCACTAGGCTACCCCAACGCCCTGTTTAGTGATGAAGCAGTGATGTTATTTATGCAAGACTGAAGTGATGGTATCTATGTGATGTTGAGATGTTACTTTTGTGGTATTGAAGTTGTAATGATGACACTATAATGAAGTGATGATGATGATGATGATGATTTGAGGGGTGAAACAGAAACGACCAATCACTCCTGAACACTGTGTTTTAAAGTCTCATATCGACCAATGTCAGTGAGTAAATTTCCATATTTGCACCACAGAACGTCACCATGGCAACAAGATCAATACACACCCAAACAGGCATCAGAGAAACAATGACGGATCCTTCCATCCTTTGAAAGGACATCTACCTTTAACGAGGGTGTCACACCTCAACGACTACACACTTAATGACTCACCTGCGAAGCCTCCATCAGTGCTGTCGTGGGTCGTTACAGTTGTTGCCGATGTAGTATTACATTGTGACAACGACATCACATCTCAGTATTGACTTGGACCAGGGCATGAGGATGTATTTTTAGTTGATCGTGGGAAGTGATTCCTCATCCGTACCAGCTAATCACAGTAGCATCTACGTAGAAAGTAGTCCATCCGCGGCCACCATTGTGTGGAGTCTCTCAACCTGAAAGTACCACAAAGTAGCAATGTAATGACTTCCAAGTTTCCGTTATCAATAAAGCTGAACTTTTGATGGTAACACATGGGGCGATCACACTAGCCGTGAAGCACACGGGACTAACAAGGACGGTTACACCTCTGTGACTGCCATCATATTATGGGCAAGAAAATAACAACAATAAACTTGTTAAAACCTTTACTATACTTCAAATATATGCATGTAGTCAAGAGACCTTGTCATATCCTGATGGCATTATTTTCTAAACATAGTCCAGATCCATCTGACTGGTAAATCTGGACCTTAAACTTATATGAATTCAAGTGATAATTTGCTTGATTCTAAACCGAACATCACTCCTCAATGTAAATAAGAAGTTGTTTGTCCATGTTATCCTTACTCCAACTTCAATATGCCTCTCTCTAGTTGTGAATAGCTGCAAAATTGCTGATGCAGCTTAAACAACATTTACTCACTTACTCTAAATACCTCAAAGCAGATAACTCAATTCGTTATTTGTCATAACCAGAATCTAAGCTAAGAAAGGAGTGTTTCTACTTGAATTTGAGTGTTATTTATCAAAGTGAGATATGTAAAAGGGACAAGTAAATCTGATTTTACATGTCGTCACAGTGTTAAGCTAATCCTGTTTGAAGACCAAAATGTACACTATCTTTGTATTTTAATATCTAACAAAACTGAAACATTGAGAACTGGTCAAGAATTATAGACTATTGTTTAACTCAGCAATATTCCAGCTACATTGCGACAGTCTATAAATAATTCAGTCCGGACCAGACAATCCAGTAGGGCTGCGCAATATAACCGGTTTACCGGTATTTACCGGTTCAGACATGAAAACGATACACATTGCGATACGCTGATCAAAAACCGATATTTCGACTTGAATTTGGAAAACTTCGTAACACTCAGAAATCCTCACATATTTCCTTGTTTCATTTGTGCCAAATATTATTTACATTTTTATTTTGTCATGATTAAAGGTTGTTGTTAAAGCTTAATCAAGCATAGTTATTTTGTTGTGATTTTGCTTTATAAATCAAACATTAACTGGATTGTAAGTACTTTCATGTTTAAAAAAAAAAATCTTGCAATATATTGCAATACATATCACAATATATGCTTTCGCATCACAATATATCGCAATATGAAAATTCTCTGCAATACCCACCCCTACAATCCAGTGATCAACATCATGAGCAGTAAACTACACAACTGGGATACGATGAAATGTGTCAACCAAGTCAGTGACTCTGACCACAAAATCCTGTTAGGGTTAAGAATTGTAGCCCGCAAATGCAACAAGTCACTGTTCTAAATTCTCCTAAAAACAATTCTCCTAGTTTCTGTGCAACAACATTTGATTATACATGATTGATTAAAAAATCATATCTGTTAAAACCTCACTGTCCATGTTAACTTTTGATGTTATTTTACAAAAAGAAAATGATTTTATTTCAATTATCAATAAACAGCAACAAATGTTGTCACATGTTTGAGTGAGTGAGTGAGTGAGTTTACTTTAACGCCGCACTCAGCAATATTCCAGCTATATGGCGGCGGTCTGTAAATAATCGAGTCAGGACCAGACAATCCAGTGATCAACAGCATGAGCATCGATCTGCACAATTGTGAACCGATGACATGTGTCCACCAAGTCAGCGAGCCTGACAACCCGATACCATTAGTCACCTCTTACAACAAGCATAGTCGCCTTTTGTGGCAAGCATGGGTTGTTGAAGACCTACCGGTATTCTACCCCGGATCTTCACGGGTCACATGTTTTTTGAAAAATGATTGACAGAGGTAGGGTTGTCACTCATACAGACATAGATACATACAAGTCCCAAGCAATTTGACAACATTGTGCCAAGTCTAGGGCTGGCTATCGCTAGAGATGATCAACAATTGTTATCTGAATATGGTTCAATCATCTACAAATATCAGAGAAGTAACGTTGAGCAAAACTGTCATTAAAGTCTGCTAGAAATCAGCATATTTCACATCACTGGTGAATCATGATACATTTATGAATGGATTACTGACAATACAACGTCCTGAACATAACTTAAAGTAGCCAATGAATAAAGACCTAACTTTGTATATTGTGTGAGTATATTAGAACTATATTTCATCACAAATGTTGATGTACAACACTATTTACACATCAGTAATCGTTAATCATTCTTTCCTTCGGTGGGTATTTCTAATCTTTTAAGCCAACACTTGCCAAGTTTAGAAATGTATTAGCTGGAGGGTAAAGAGATTCTCTGGAAATGTTTCAGTCATAGTAAAGACAATTTATCTAAATACAAAACTATTTTCTTTTCACAGACTTCATGAGGCATGTTGACAGGACCTGAGCTAAATATCTGGCTTGCTAAGCATACAGATCCTGTTAACCAGGCAAAAGTGATGATGATCAGAAAGTAAGTAAAAATAGCTATGACATGTGCATATATACTCATGGAAACAAATAAGGTAACACATTAAGTACAAGTGTTCCTTTATTCTTTTCCAGGTTTCTTCACAAGGTATGTATTGCACTGTGGGTGAAAGTCTGGAAATAAATTAAGGAAAACTTGTACTTTCATGTGTTCCCTTATATTTTTCAAGTCCATCACATAATGTAGTGCTAGAATAAATATATCCTCATTGAAACCAATAACTATATGACTACTCAGCCAAGAAACAGTCCATGTCGGTATTTGAGACAAACCACATGAAGAGAGCTGAGAACCACTGATATCCTTGTTTGACATTTTGTCGTAAAAAGTAATTTTTGTAATATAACTAAAAATACTTATCTACCAAACAAATCCAGAGAGGCCAGACCAATCCTAATTTTTTTAATATTCAAGTGCTGAGGCAGTCTAGATTTGCCAATTCATTCTGGACTTGACTAGGACTCCTCTTCAATATTCTCCATGGTCTCAAAACCAGATTATGATCTTTAAAGAACAACCTAATCTTAGTGTCCTTATTTAGGCGGAAGGGAAGGCATGATCAAAATAGATTTAATAAAATACACTATAAAACCTTGGAGGACATTACTGCTGAAATACTGTTAATATGGTTCCACAAAAAGACTATTTTGGAGTCATAGAAACCAGCAACTTAAAGAGTTCCTTATAAAGCAAATACAAACCATTTTTACCAAATCTTGAGCCACCAACCCCAAACCTTTTTCTGTACCACCGTTGTTCCAATGTACCACTGTCCCGATATACCTCCAACACAACTGGCATGAAGCTGATGTTTCAGAGCATCTGGTATATCTGACTCTCCTGAATCCTGATCGAAAAGATACTTGAAGTGCACTTGCAACATCCTTTCAATGAATACTTCCCGGAGTGTGAAAGCCATTAATTATTTCCCTGTGTGATTTGATTGAGTAAACATTTACTCACAGCCTGTCATTTTTCTCTCAACCCTAGATACCCAGTGCATCTGCACACGCTCGTTCACTTACATACAATAAACCGCAGTCTGTTAAATCATTAAATCAACACCTGCTGAAATGCTTCTAAAATGAATTATCATGAAAACAGATGTTGGAAACATCAAAACTTGCTAATTTTTCCAATATATCAGAGACTTTTTGTGTTAACATGTATATTTTATTAGGAAGAATAATATCTATTACTTGCGTTTGAACACCAGCTTGTCCAATAACAGAAGAATATACTAGCTATTCTCTGAGTGTTAGCACAAAACGTAGAGTCAATGATTTATTACATCTATCGACAGCATCACTAAAGTGTACATGGATAGCACAGCATCAATATCAACTTCATGGCAACCAACAGTGACAGGGTTTGTCTGCTTGTTTGTTTGGTGTTTAACGCTGCACTCAACAATATTCTAGCTATATGGCAACGTTCTGTAGATAATTGAGTCTGGACCAGATAATCCAGTGATCAACATCACAGTGATAGACCATTTCATGTATACATTCTAATCTCTCTATCTCACGGGAGTGAGAACAGTTTTACACTGCTTTTAGCAATACTCCAGCAATATTATGGTGGGGACACCCCAAATGGGCTTCACACATAATACCCATTTTGGGAATCAAACCCAGGTCTTCGGTGTGACGTGCGAACGCTTTAACCACAAGGCTACCCCAACCCCACCCACCCCCACCCCACTCAGCATGATAAGTACAGACACAGCACCTCAACCCACATACATGCAGACCCGCCTAAACATGGGGGAATGTCTACTGCACACACTCTGGTTTTATACTGCACCATTTATGTCCTCGACAATACTTAAAATACCAGCAAAGTGAATCACAAATTGTTGATCTATTAAGGTGCTTATGTAAATATTGACACAGCAAGGGTAACCAGTCACAGTAAGGCTGGGGACGGCTGGTAACGGTTAGTCACCTAGGTTTGTGGATTTCAAACTTGTCCCGGGGATGTCTTGCTCTAGATAAGATGTACATTTCCATAACATATGCGACACAAATCATCATGACAATAATTACAACAGAAACAATGAGAAACAAGGAATGACAGATGGAAATAAATGGCGCCAATCGTGAGCTTCTAATGAAGGAATTAATTACTTGATTGACGAGGGAAAGGTCAATGCATAAATCTGGGTTATAAGTAGGTTATTCTGTGTTCTATTCATTTAAGAGAGAAATTGATGAAGAAAAAAATGTCAACCTTAAAGAGAAACTTGACTGGAGGCAGCGTATCGTTGAGTGAGCAAGTATCGTATACGCCGCTTGAAGCAATATTCCAGCAATATTCCAGCAATATCACGGCGGAGCACACAAGAAATGGGCTTCACACATTGTACCCAGGTGAGGAATCGAACCCAGGTCTTCTTTGAGCATCCCCTTTAACCACTAGGCTACCTCACCACCCCTCAGTGACTGTGACACAGACTAAACTAATGTGAGTTTACCTTTAGCTGGCATACCTAGCTTAATACATCCTTATTCACTAGATGTTGACAAAGTGTTCAAG